AGTCCGGCTGGAACTAGTCCGCTTTTGGTGCGCATCCCCGCCTCACCAGACTGATCGCGGACGGCGTTGTGTCGATAGCGGACATGACCTGGGCGCCGAGGGTCAGGATGGACGTTAGCGGACATGCGGTACCTGGACGGTCGGTTCGGGGTACCGGAGGACGGCTAATCCCAGTGGGGGCCGCCCAGTGTGTCGTTTGCGGACATGCGGCGGCAGCCGGCGGTCGGCGGCGACGGGCGGCGACCGAGAAGAAGCAAACCAAAACTAGCAAACCTAACTCAATACAGAAAATCAGTAAACATATTTTTAGATAATCATCTGTTCAGCGCTAAATGTCTCTTAGAAATAATAAAAAGCCAACCAAAACTAACAAACCTAACTGAATACAGGAAATCAGTAATGGTATCATCAGTGCAGCGTTGCGCTTCGCTATCGCTCCGCGCAACGCTTTGGCATGGAGCGAAGCCCATCTGACTTCAGGTTGATTGCCGCGAACGACGATTTGCCCGCGATAAAGTGTCTATTGCCCGATTGCCCGTGCTGGATCTCGCTCACGTTAATGTTTAGTTCAAGTGCTAAATATATACTCTGGTACGAACCGATCGTCTTTGCCCTCAGCCCGAGTGTAGTAGCGCGTGACGGTCCCTAGGCCGCCGGCCGCCGCCACATGTCCGCAAACGTCACATTTGGCGGTCCCCGCTGGGATTAGCCCTCCGTCGGTTCCCCGAACCGGCCGTCGAGGTACCGCATGTCCGCTAACGTCCATCCTGACCCTCGGGCCCAGGCCATGTCCGCTAACGTCCATACGCCATCGCGGACTGGTCCGCACGTAGAGCAGACTGAAAGTGGACTACCTGAAGCACAGCTGACCACTACCGTGCCAAAATTGATTGGGAAAAGTGCAAAGTTTAATGTTTATTATCGCTAAATAAAGAAAAATATCAGGTCAGGGTAAATCGAACAGTGGTCTGAGAGTGTTAGAAACGAGGCGAAGCCAAATCCGCTGTCTGTTTTGACATGAAGTATAGCAATACTTCATGGTTTTGACCTAGCTCAAGCCGTTTACGAGTTAGCAGAAAAATTTGCTTCGATTTCAATGAAATTAAAATGGCCCTACTAAAATAGGGTGTAGATGTCCCAAATAAAATTTGAGGTCAAAATTCCTATTACTTCCAAAGATACAGCATGATAAACTTGTATCGGGATTCGCTCCGGACAATTCTTTCTTTTTAACAGTGCTGTGCTCTGCTCCCGGGCGGACTGAAAACGACCTGGTCCGCTGCGGTAGGTACTCAGGACGGACTGGTCCGCCAGTAGTCCGCCGTTGGAGGACTGATAGCGACCTAGTCCGTCATGAGGCGGACTGAAAGCGACCTAGTCCGGTGAGGGTGGACTGTCCGCGGACTGGTCCGCCGAGGACGGACTGTCTGCGTACTGGTCCG